GCAGTGCACAAGAACCGTAACTGTGCCTTGCCTAATTTTTTAATTATCCCCCTTTGTTTATTTTCACACTTTGAACTTTGTCCAGGACATAACTCTAAAAGTATAAGAGGTATCAACATGAAACTTTGTAGGTAGATAGATCTCATTAAGTAGGTTTGCAGTGCACAAGTATTGTAACACTGTCTTGCCTACTTTTGGAGTTATTGCCCTTTGTTCATTTTGACACTTTGAACTTTGTCCGGGACATTACTCTAAAATTATAAGAGATATCAACATGAAACTTTGTAGATAGATAGGTCTCATTGGGTGGAAGTGCAGTGCTTAAGAATCATTACTCTGCCTTGCCTTATTTTGAAGTTATTGCCCTTTTGTTTATTTTTACTTTTTGACTTTTGTCAATGCTTAAATGCTTAAAGAACCTAAACAAAGCCTGGTCTAATTTTGGAGTTATTGCCCTTTGTTCATTTTTGCACTTTGAATTTTACCCGGGACATAACTCTGATATCATCAGGAAACTTTATATATAGATAGATCTCATTGAATAGAAGTGCAGTGTAAAAAACATAACTCCGCCTTGCCTAATTTTGGAGTTTTTGCCCTCTAATGTTCATTTTTTTTATACCTTCCTGTGTCCAGAACCATCTCGGGGAGCATCACCCGGTTCAACCGGTTCTTGTTGAAGATTTTGTAGCAGCAGCTATCCAAATCCATAACTCTAGTGCATTGGGAGATATTAACCAAGTGTTAAATGTGCTAGCTGAGAATCAAAGACGTGAACACCTTGTAGATGTGTTAGCTAATGAATCTGTTTTTGAACTTTACAAGAGGTCTCAAGAGTTCAAGGAAGACGGCACGGTTTTGAATGGATCTATTGTTAACATTTGGCTGGTTCTTCGTTTTATGAGAGTACTGAAGGAAAATGATCTTGACCTATACATATCAACATTATAAAATATGTTACAATTATTCTTTGCATATGATCATCAAAACTATGCAAAATATCTATCTGTATATGTTCTTATGTTAGTAAAGTGATTCAACACACCCAGGATCAAGAGAGCTTCTTCAAAAATGCTGTTAATATAACCATTGAGCAAATAATAAACAGACATGCAAAGTCTCGTAGAGGCATAATAGGATTCAGCAGAATCTTCGCTGCCTACTACAGATGGAGTCAAACACAACACTCGAGATCCAGCTATGTTGAGGCTACATTCCGCATGGCCGGCATATCATCAGTGGATTCTTCTACACACATTGATACACAATCAGCAAATATAGCTGGATTTGAAAAATGTCACGAAACTCAAAGAATCAATAACTAATTTTATGAATTCATTTGTAACAGATAATAGGGATGTGTTGTTCTGTTTCAGTTCAGGGGCTCCTGCACCAGAAGAGATCGAAAAGAGTCTGCTTGATGCCTATCGAAATGGACTTGAGGCACACAAAAAGCTCGCCCTGGATGATAAAACTGTTAGTTTTTATGCGCCACTGAAGAAGCAAAACTGAAAACCCTTTGCCGATACAAAGAAAGTTAAGAAAGTGACATGAACTCAGAACAATCTTATCGAAGTTAAGGCCGCTGGCAATGTCTTCGTCAGCTTATCATGTTATCAGAAGGATATGACATTATCCTTAAAAAGACACTAACGTACCCGCTTGGACCAGTCCCTTGGTCTCTAGCTTCAACAGATGGCTTACCAACAAAGACTGCCAAGGCAAAACTAATGCATGATCTTGAAGGCGATTATACAATGATCAGAGGCCAGGTAACAAAAACATAATATACATATATCTTCAAGCACTTTCTTGTCTCCCTTCAACCTTTTAAGGCGCGCTGAAAAAGATTTTGAGATTTTGCCAATGTGAGCGTGCAGGCTTTGTGACAGATACGTACAAAGCAGAATTTATCAAATCTGCAGAAAGGTCATGAAGAGGAATGAGTGATACATACCTGATAAAATGCAACAAAACTAAAGTTTTGGTAAACTGGAAAGGTTTTTTTTTTGTAATAATAATAAAAATAAGAAACAATTGATAAGATTGATATTAGAGGAATTGTCTAAAGTTAAATATGCAGGGAAATTGTACGGAAGGAGAATCTTGTGCTTGTGAATTTTGTTTGTTTGTTTGTTTGTTTCATTTTACGCCTTTTCCCAACAGTATTTCAGTCATATAGGCGGGTAGTTTCTTAACCATCGTTCCTGGAGAGTTACACTAGTACTAGACTACCTTCCTCCATGCTAAACTACCAAAGCATCTCCCGGGGATCAAACCCAGACATGTGTATTCCTCCAAAGTAAAGATGGAAAAGTAAAAGTAATATCAGATCTACATACGTCTCAGGAGGAAGCCGATACCAGAATTATGCTACATATGCAACATGCGGCTAAAATGATGACCAAACAATAATTGTACTTTCTCCTGATACTAATGTTATGGTATTACTTCTAACGTTAGCACAGTCTATCAACAGTTTAATACTTTTTGACACTGGTGTGGCTAATTATAGAAGACTGTTAAAAGTAAATAAAGTCATTGATAGACTAGGAGAAGATCTTTGCAAAGCATTGTTTGGGCTACTTAGTTTCACCGGATGTGATACCACGAGCCCTTTTTTATGAGGAGGGGGAACTATAACCAGTTTTCAAGAGAATGGGCAAGACTGTTGATATTCAAGAAGAAGATTTCAAAATTCTATAACAGTTTGTTTGCATTTTATACAGGAAAGACAAATAAAGTGTCATAAATAAGTTACGCGTTGACATTTTCAGACAAACGTTTAGACCAAATGCAGACATACTTACAATTACCTATGTTATTGACTTGCGTTCAATACCACCATATCTTTTCACATTAAAGATGCATATTTTTAGATCAAATTACCAAGTATTTGTGTGGTCAATTCCCAACTATTCCAAGTCCTGATAGATATGGGTGGAATACTAGTACAACCGGAGGTCTCACATATACAATGTACCTGGACAGAGGGAAATACACTACCACCAGAATTAATTGAAATCATAGCTAATAAAAATGCAAGTTAAGTGTTAGAAGATGATTAAAATGAAGAAGGTGCTCTAGAGGAAATTGAGATGGAAATTTATATTGATGTCATTTTCGAAGAAGATTTCGAGTAATAAGTAATATGTGACGAAAAAGCTATATTGTAAAACATTGGAAGTGGGGGGGGGGGGGGTAATTTATATCTTTTAATAGCATTATAATTAAACCAAATTGAACAACAAAAACTCTATTTAACTTCTATAATATTTATACAAACAATTTTTTTATAATTAAGTGATGGTTTGCTTTTTTTTCAAATATAACCACAAAGTTTATGTTAAAATGTTAATAAAATAACGTGAAAATGGCGGCCATTTTGAATTTGGCGACCATTTTGAAAAGCAATAACATCAATTAATTATGAAGTAAATCATTTTAGAGACCTTGCCTATGATCTAAAACAAAAGCCGACCACATAGCAATTTATTTGGTTAAAAAATTAATGGTTATTTCAATTAGGCTGTTTATTAAGAAATTATGACAAGGGCAGATAATTCACATTGGCTTGTGTCTTAATGGTAAACGTTTCAGTCAGACAACAACTTGCAAATGTCTTCCTATATGTTTATCTTTAAAACTACATGGGTCCCATAAAATACCCAGAGGGGGTAACCTTTTCCATTTCTAGCTCATACTCTACAATGACGACATTATGATATTGCGACAATGCGATAACGTACTACGGAATACCGTTAGGGCAATCGTGGTTAAACTTTATAATCTGGAGTGCGATGACGACTGTACGATAGTGCGATGGCGACAGTACAATAACACAGTGGCGACAGTGCGATAACGACAGTACTGTATGCGACAATGCGATGACGAGAGTGAGATAACGCGAGGACGAGAGTAAGATAATGCGATGGCGATAATACGACAGTGCGATAATATCGCGGTATAGTACTATCACCATCGCGTTATCTATGAAAAAACTACCTTACCTTCTTCACTATTAACAATGGTAACCGTACATTCAACATGTCATTGGCAACTTTTAAGCGACTTCTACGCTCGGCTCACTTATTCATCTCTGTGGCGAATACAAGTATTCGACGGCAAATTCTCACCATATTATGATTCTTTTTAACCCATAGCAAACTTACTTTTTGTGTGTGAAGGACTGATGGACCCTCATCAAGCTAATACATTCGTATACATTATTGTTTTAATATACAATGATCTTTTTATGAGTTTGAATTCAATCGGTCCCGAAATCGTGACCGATCGGTTCCCTATCTCTTTTCCTTCCCCCGATTTCTTAATTAGTACCCGTAAACAAATATTTTAATCATTTCAACAATGTAGTAATAAGATAATCATTTTAATTATGTTTGTCGTTTTTCGTTTTGCCATTTCAAAATAAATGTATTCTAGTCTTAATGAATGGTCCATCCGCCCTTAAAAATAAATCCTACTATAATTTAGATTATATACAGCCTGTAATAATGAGCAGCTGCGAACTTTAGTTTGATGGTAATATTTGCTGAATCTTGAGAAAGTTGATTTACCGGTTTTCTTTGTATCTTGAAATATCAGGGGAAAAAATGAGAACATTTTAAATGAAAATGTTTGTGGACTAGTAGGCTCGAACTTTAGGCAATTGAAATGAAAGCTCCACGCTTTATTCACTGATCTACCGTTACAAGTATTACTAAGTTTGCGCCAAGGTAACGGATTTAACTATTAATCATTCTTGAAAGACGGATTTTCGTAAAACGAACATATTACTAATGTAAGATAGGATATTCAAATGCGCGCTAAAATGTATGCAAAATGTCAGGCCATTCTAAAATAGGACAATAACTGCAGAACTTGAAAGCGTCAAAAAGGTAATAGATAAATAAAAAGCAGATTAATTACACCAACTAAAATCTATTGTTAATCCCTTATAAAAACGTTTCAAACTCTTGCATCATTACACAAAAAAGGTTGGGAACATAACATCTCGAGACACAAGGCTTTACAATGGATAAGCTAGTGTCCTGTAATTGTGATCCGTCGTAATCTGGTCATTGTCCAAACAATTAATTCTCATAAATATTGATTCTCGATACTTGTATAATACTGCTCTTGAATAATCAATTGAAAATATTTAAACGTTCTCCCTAGCTAATGCATTTATAAACATTCCGGGTGATTATGTTTACATTTACACTTCTCAGAAATGCTTTCCCTTCTGGCGTAAAACACATTCTTAATCTACTTGTAAACATTTCTGCTGCAGAAGATTGTATTTGAACGCTATATTCTGGTATATAAAGACTGATCTACAAACATGAATAACACCACAACAGACGCCCTGATTCAAGCTGATGATTGTTTTCAAAATGGAGGCGGAAAATTAAGAATTATACGTATGACTGTGTATATATCTGTGACGCTGGCATCATACTTTGGAAATATTCTAATTCTCGTCAGTTTAAAGAAATTTTCGGATTTTCTAAAAGGAACACCTTACATCTTATTAGGGAATTTAGCTGTAGCAGATATACTTCTAGCTCTTGGACTTTCCCTCCAAATCTTCCGAATTATTGTTCAACCCATAGAAGGTGAAATGTTCTTCTGTGCAATAAACATGTGCATTATTGGAATATCTATCACAGCTTCTGGATTTTTATTAATGTTTATATCGGTCGACAGATTTTGTGCAATTGTGTTTCCAATGAAACATTTAATTCGTTCCACCAAAGTAAGGCGTAGACGGATAAAACTAGCATGTGTGTGGTTTGCTTCTGCGTCTTTAATATGTGTGATGATATTTTACAATTTTATACCATCAGAATACAGCATCTGCGATCACTGTGACACGGCACCTTTTGGCATAGCGCTTGCCTTAGCTGTGTTCATGACACTACAATTCATTATGAATATCGTAATGTGCTTAATTGTGATTTGGAGCTTAAAATCAAATACCATGTGTAAAGAAATGTATAAGAAAAGTTTGGTAAAGTGTGCACTGTTGATTAGGGTGTACATAGTTTTTGCGTTGTGCTGGTCGCCCTACGTCGTGACGATAATTTTAATGGCGGTATCAACCGATAAAGAAAAGTACGCAGAAGCGCGTGCTTATACAATTATGCCCGGTCTAATGAACTCGTCGATGAATTGGATAATTTATAGTCTGTCTAACCAGAAACTTCGAGACTCATTCAGAAATGTCTTACTTTGTAAGAATTCAAGACAAATGCATGTTTCAAATTATAACAGGGAAAAAAAAAAAGAGCCGGATCCCCACCCCGTCCATGTCACCACCCCCAAAGAAGAAAACATTTATTTTCTGTTTTAATATTAATATAGTAAACTGGCTAATAAAAAAGTTAAAAATTTATGACATTACATTTGGGAAAAAATCCCCATCCAAAAAAACGTGTTGGAAAAATTTACCTGGGAAAATAAAAAAAACCGAAAATCGCGGTTTACGAAAAGAAAACCCAAAAAAAGTGCATTTTGGGGACCCCGGGATGGAAACCCCAAACCGGGATGTTAAAAATTTCCAAATTTTGTAAAATTTGCCCAAATCCCAAATTTAAAGAGCCGCGCCATGACCAAAAACTAACCCTTTGTGCGTTTGCGAAACCCGCATGGATCCAGGCCAGCCTGCGGGATCCGGCCCCCGTCTGGGCAGGATCCATGCCGTCCGCTTACAAACCCTATAACAAGCAGAGAAACTGATAGCGAACAGCATGGATACTGATCAGACTGCGCGGATGCGCAGGCTGGTCTGGATCCATGCTGGTCGCAGACACATTATGTTGGTTTTGTCATGACGCGGCTCAAATGAGGATACTTCACATACACGCTATGGAGCAAGTTCACACTTGGAGGTGAAAGCTAAACATGGTCTGTCATAGGGTATATTTTGTCTCCGGTCCACAATTTGTTCATCGTTCAAGGGATTTTGAAATTACTTGCCACAAATGTTCACAATAATTGGACGACGTGTCATGCACAACAACCGGACCTATACCTTCAAGGTCACACTTTGGGGTCAAAGCTTATCATGGTCTTTTTCAGGGTATGTTTTGTTACCGGTCCATAACTTCTTCATCATGACATCACTTGGCACAAATGTTCACAATAATAAGACGGCGTGGTATGCACAACACCTGGAGACTTAAACTTGACGCTGATGGTCCATTTGTGATTAAGTTTTGTCATGATAATCAACTCCGACAATATGTAGAAATGCCAACATTGGGAAGAACATTGGACTTGATTATCGAATCTGATAACATGCAGTGCACTAGTAGAGTGATTCCATTTTCTTACACCGACCATTTCATGACTATTTTATTTGTTTTCTAAATAGTTTATATAGATTTTTATTTGTCACATTTTGAGGTTTTGAAATAGTAATAACAACTTACAAATGTATTTTGTTGACACATACACAGGAGTGTTTTCATTATATTTCTTAAATAAATTTATTGTTGCATGTGCAGATCTAGCATTGATCAAAATTTTGCATTGAAAGTCCAAATCCATACCTTAATCTTTTGAAATAGCACAATTTCATGCTGCATGTAATTACATTATGTTTTAAATTATTTATGTACATTATATGCTTAATTTTATCATGTCACAATTTTATTGTATGGTATGCTCTGTAAAGTAAAAGTTTTTAGCTATTCCTAATGTTTTAATTTTGTATAAATGCTAAAATTCCTGTCCATCGCTAAGGTTTTACTTTGTGTTAGAAACTGCTTGCTACTCTTGTTTCCTACTAGACTCACAGACGCAAGTGGAAACAGGATTTTTTTTTTACACAAATGCAACAATTAATATCATTTCAACCTGGTAATGTTATAAAGTGGCTACAAGATTTACAAGGAATATCTAACCTTCATTTTAAAGAGTTGGGTGTAGAAATTTTTTTAAAAGTCGGGAAATAATGATTTAAAAAGTCCCCTTACAAATTTTAGAATGGCTTTTGTTGGGGAAAAGGTAAATGTTTAAAAAAAGTTTTGTATTGTTGTTATGAATTGTACAATTTAAAGAGACTTTAAAAAAAAGATTAAAAATTTAAAACTTTTCCTTTTGGCGGGGGGCGTTGGTAAAATCGTTTTTCAAATTTTTTGGTTTTGATTAAAGGGTTTTTAAACTTCAAAAAATAAAAAGATATTTAAAAAAAATTATATATTGACTTTAACTTCACACCTATAATTGTTCCCATGATTTACCAAATTGTGATAGTTTACAGCAATCTCATTATTTGAAGAAAAAAAACTTCATTTATTGCATACATATTTTTATATTTTCAAACGTATATTTCAAAAATCATTAAATTTTTATGATATAGACAAGACCAAAACAATTTTTAATACCCCCCTTCTGGGGTTTTTTCCAGCCAAGGGGAAAAAAAACAAGAAAAAAATTACGGGAAACCCGAAATTTTTTAGCATTAAGAAAAATTTTTTTAATTTATTTGTAAAATAAATTTAATATTCTCCCGTACAAACATGATATTTTGTATTATACAATTCCTTGTATTTCTTAAAATATGGGATAAAACCATTCCCTTTTGGGGAAGCAAAAAATGTTCAAAATTTTTCCCCCAGAACAATGGGAGAAATAAAAACGCAATCTACGTACCATTAGTCAATATGTGGAACATTCATTGAATAGACCTTACTCGGGAAGAAAGAGTATTGTGGGTTTTCCCCCAGCTAATGGGGGGGCGGGGGTACAAACAAACGTTTACAATTATAACAGATTTGAAAATAAGCCCAACAGTTCAACTTACCTATTGTGGCTGTTAGCGCACCGTGAAGCTGTAACATTAAAAACAAGAGGGCCATGATGGCCCTGAGGTCGCTCCCCTGTATATAGCCCCCCCCCCCCCCCCCGGCCCAATTTTTTACCCAAGGGCTTTTATTTGTTTAATTGAACAGACTTGGTAGACACCCATAAGAAGATATTTCATGCAAAACATCTAAGTTCTAGCTCATTGGGTTTTTTAAAAGAAGATTTTTTAAGTTTTTACTATACACATATAGTTAAAAACAATGACACCCCATGGGCAGGGCCAGTTTTGACCCCTGGGCTTTATTTGAACAAACTTTTGTTGATATTTACTTTAAGATGTTTCATGCTTAATATTTAAACTCTAGTTATTTGGGTTTTTTCAAAGAAGATTTTTAAGTTTTTGCTATGTATATAAGGAAAATCAATGACCCCCCGGGGCGGGGCCAGTTTTTTGACCCCAGGGCTTTTATTTGAACATACTTGGTAGACACCCATTAGAACATGTCTCATGCTAAATATCTTAGCTCTAGCTCTTTGGGTTCTTTAAAAGAAGATTTTATAAGTTTTTACTATATGCATATAAGGAAAATCAATGACCCCCTGGGGCGGGGCCAATTTTGACCCCAGGGCTTTTATTTGAACAAACTTGGTAGACATTCACTAGAAGATGTTTTCATGCCAATATCTGAGCTCTAGCTCTTACGATTCTTTAAAAGAAGATTTTTTAAGTTTTTACTATATGCATATAGGGAAAATCAATGACCCCCCGGGCGGGGCCAATTTTGACCCTAGGGCTTTTATTTGAACAAACTTGGTAGACATTCACTAGAAGATGTTTCATGCCAAATATCTTAGCTCTAGCTCTTTGGGTTCTTTAAAAGAAGATTTTTTAAGTTGTTACTTTATGCATATAGGGAAAATCAATGACCCCCTGGGGCGGGGCCAATTTGGACCCCAGGGCTTTTATTTGAACAAACTTGGTAGACATTCACTAGAAGATGTTTCATGCCAAATATCTAAGCTCTAGCTCTTACAGTTCTTTAAAAGAAGATTTTTTAAGTGTTTACTATATGCATATAGGGAAAATCAATGACCCCCCGGGGGGCCAATTTTGACCCCAGGGCTTTTATTTGAACAAACTTGGTAGACACTCACTAGAAGATGTTCCATGCCAAATATCTTAGCTCTAGCTCTTACGGTTCTTTAAAAGAAGATTTTTTAAGTTTTTACTATATGCATATAGGGAAAATCAATTACCCCCCAGGGCGGGGCCAATTTTGACCCCAGGGCTTTTATTTGAACAAACTTGGTAGACATTCACTAGAAGATGTTTCATGCCAAATATCTTAGCTCTAGCTCTTTGGGTTCTTTAAAAGAAGATTTTTTAAGTTTTTACTTTATGCATATAGGGAAAATCAATGACCCCCTGGGGCGGGGCCAATTTTGACCCCCAGGGCTTTTATTTGAACAAACTTGGTAGACATTCACTAGAAGATGTTTCATGCCAAATATCTAAGCTCTAGCTCTTACAGTTCTTTAAAAGAAGATTTTTTAAGTGTTTACTATATGCATATAGGGAAAATCAATGACCCCCCCGGGGCGGCCAATTTTGACCCCAGGGCTTTTATTTGAACAAACTTGGTAGACACTCACTAGAAGATGTTCCATGCCAAATATCTTAGCTCTAGCTCTTACAGTTCTTTAAAAGAAGATTTTTTAAGTTTTTACTATATGCATATAGGGAAAATCAATTACCCCCCGTGGCGGGGCCAATTTTGACCCCAGGGCTTTTATTTAAACAAACTTGGTAGACACTCATTAGAAGATGTTTCATGCCAAATATCTAAGCTCTAGCTCTTAGGGTTGTTTAAAAGAAGATATTTAAAGATTTTTCTTTCGGTTGCCATGGCAACCAGAGTTCTGCATGGAATTAAATTCTTTGAACAATTTTAAAGGTGACCACCAAAGGAACATTCCTGTGAAGTTTGGATGAAATTGGCTTAGTGGTTTATGAGGAGATGTCATTTAAAGCAAAAGTTTACGGACGGACGGCCGGACGCCGGACGGACGGACGCCGGACGAAAAGCGATCACAAAAGCTCACCCTGTCACTTTGTGACAGGTGAGCTAACAAGAGGGCCATGATGGCCTTGAGGTCGCTCACCTGTATATAGGCCCCCCCAACCCCCATCCCCCCCAACGTTGCAGGGCCAATTTAACCCAAGGGCTTTTATTTGCACAAACTTGGTAGACACCCATAAGAAGATGTTTCATGCTAAACATCTAAGCTCTAGCTCATCGGGCTTTTTAAAAATACACATATAGTTAAAAACAATGACACCCCTGGGGCCGGGTCAGTTTTGACCCCAGGGCTTTTATTTGAACAAACTTTGTAGACACTAATACTAGAAGATGTTTCATGCTTAATATCTAAACTCTAGCTATTTGGGTTTTTTCAAAGAAGATTTTAAGTTTTTGCTATACACATATAAAGAAAATCAATGACCCCCGGGGCGGGGCCAATTTTGACCCCAGGTCTCTTATTTGAACAAACTTTGTAGACACTCACTAAAAGATGTTTCATGCTTAATATCTTAACTCTAGTTATTTGGGCTTTTTCAAAGAAGATTTTTTAAGTATTTGCTATACACATATAAGGAAAATCAATGACCCCCAGGGCGGTGCCAATTTTGACCCCAGGGCTTTTATTTGAACAAACTTGGTAGACACCTATTAGAACATGTTTGATGCTAAATATCTTAGCCATAGCTCTTTGAGTTCTTTAAAAGAAGATTTTTTAAGTTTTTACTATATGCATAAAGGGAAAAACAATGACCCTCGGGGCGGGGCCAATTTTGACCCCAGGGCTTTTATTTGAACAAACTTGGTAGACACTTATTAGAAAATGTTTCATGCTAAATATCTTAACTCTAACTCTTTTGGTTCTTTAAAAGAAGATTTTTTAAGTTTTTACTATATGCATATAGGGAAAATCAATGACCCCCTGGGGCGGGGCCAATTTTGACCCCAGGGCTTTTATTTGAACAAACTTGGTAGACACCTATTAGAACATGTTTGATGCTCAATATCTTAGCCATAGCTCTTTGAGTTCTTTAAAAGAAGATTTTTTAAGGGAAAATCAATGACCCCCCGGGGCGGGGCCAATTTTGACCCCCAGGGCTTTTATTTGAATAAACTTGGTAGACACCCATTAGAACATGTTTCATGCTAAATATCTTAGCTCTAGCTCTTTGGGTTCTTTAAAAGAAGATTTTTTAAGTTTTTACTATATGCATATAGGGAAAATCAATGACCCCCCGGGGCGGGGCCAATTTTGACCCCAGGGCTTTTATTTGAACAAACTTGGTAGACACTCACTAGAAGATGTTTCATGCCAAATATCTAAGCTCTAGCTCTTATGGTTTTTTAAAGAAGATATTTAAAGTTTTTTCTTTCGGTTGCCATGGCAACCAGAGTTCTGCAAGGAATTAAATTCTTTGAACAATTTTTAAAGGTGAGCACCAAAGGAACATTCCTGTGAAGTTTGGATGAAATTGGCTTAGTGGTTTATGAGGAGATGTCATTTAAAGTAAAAGTTTACGGACGGACGCCGGACGAAAAGCGATCACAAAAGCTCACCCTGTCACTTTGCGACAGGTGAGCTAAAAATGTTTGCACTTGGAGATTAGCTTGGAAAACCCCACATTTGCAGAATTCAAGGTATATATCAGTATTATACTGAACTATTTCATAAGATTTTAGGTGATGTGTTTTAGCAAGTCATAAAGACAAATTACCACAGTCATAAAGGTTTTGCCAATTTCATCAATTTTACCAGTGATCCATATCAATCTTATAAAGGACTGCATACAAAAGATCTTTTTTGTTAACTGTACATTTTAAATGAAGTATAGTTGTAAACCAAGCCAACTTTGTGAAATGGATTTGCCCTGCTTATTAATTTGGAGAGGTCCATTTGAAAATTAAGGGATTTCAGTAACAAAATACAACAAGAGCTATCAATAGGACAGTGCACTCGACCGTTCTCAATGCTTGATAGTAAAACAAGAGCCTGGATAATGAAGAGTTTTCTATGTTCATAAGGGTGTCACTACGTCCCAACCTTCTCACAAAAACTAAACTTATGTGTGAAGCTAGCTCCTAGGTGATTACAGTAAATCTCCCTATACTTCAAATTGTCCAGCTTAATACTGAGCTACCAACAGTATAAAGTCTGGTCAGAATACATGGAAGTACATGCTGGCCTAGCTCTATAACTGTGGCAAAAGCTTGTCACTTTCAATTTCTGAAGGTTAACTCAATCAAAATGATAATGGTAAGTCTACAATGTGGTAAGTCTACCATGTAAAAGTTATGTTATATGAGCCGCGTCATGACAAAACCAACATAATGGGTTTGCGACCAGCAAGGATCCAGGCCAGCCTGCGCATCCGCGTAGTCTGATCAGGATCCATGCTGTTCGCTTACAAACCCTATAACAAGTAGAGAAACTGATAGGATCCATGCTGGTCAGAAACCCATTATGTTGGTCTTGTCATGACGCGGCTCATATTTATTTGAATCTAGTAAGCTATCTATCATGATAAAGTCACATAAAATCATATCTCTTGTTTTTTTCGTAACTATAAGATTGTGACAAAGACCACATCTATTAGAGACAAAAACAGATTGTTATTTAAGAATGATGGTTTTTATTGATGATTTCTTGCAGATAATGTAGACATACTCTGGTAACAAAAACTGACATTTAGAAACGCTTAAATCTTTCTGTAAGCAAAACAGATCTAGCTTCAACACAAATATAGATGTAACATCGTAGTTAAACACATGATTCTATTTCAAATTATCATCCACATTTTCATCATTTTCCACTTCTTCTTTGTCAGTGTTTTGTTCTATATAGTCTATATTTTCACTATTCTCAGTTGTTATATTTTCACTATTGTCACTTGTTATATTTTCACTATTGTCTGTTGTTATATTTTCACTATCATTGTCTACATCTGTTTCAGGCCATGGCATTGGAATAAAATCTCCCGGTGAACATCTTTTTATACATTTGAATAAATTTCTGTAAAATAAAACAAGATGCAGATCATGTAAAGAAAATGAAAAGACTTAAATGGATTCTATATTTAATTATGCTCACCTTACCAATAGTAAAATGTAGATAAGAGTTTTTGGAAAAGTCAGATAATTTCTGACTCACATGTAATAATTCATATAACTTAGCAAAGGCAACTAGACAATGAATTACTGTTAACAAAATATCTAAACTCACAGCAAAATTAAACTTTAAGTTTTTCCTTTTTAAACATCTTCTAGAAAAAGCTATTTAATTAAATATTCAAAGTACAGGATTTTTTAAGAGTGCCAAATAACAAATTCAGAGCTAGCCCTTTGAATTTAAAAGACGTTTTTATAGCTAGCTTTGTCTTTGACAAATCTATGAAACAAAAGTGAAGCATAAACTTTATTTAACTTTAATAGAGAACCACAAGCCTAAAACTGTGTACTATGAGGCATGAAAATTTACATGTGTTTAACATACAAGTCACCCTTTCAGCCAGACCAATTTTAACCCATAGGGAATGATCTATTAACATTTGTGATGTTTCAAACAATATACCTAGTTTCAGGAAGTTACAGTTTTTTCAAGTATATTTTTAAAGATTTAATCTTTAAAATCTATTTTAAGCTACACAGATTTAATTCAAATTCATTTATATATAAACTTTGTAGAAGCCTCCCAAAAGATGAATCTTGTGAAGTTTGGTCAAAATCTGCTTACAGGCTTCTTATTAAAAACTGTTAAAATGACATATAAAAGACTCTAAACAATCACAAAAGTTCACCTTTAGTCCATTAGAGTGCTTCTATAAATAATTTAGATTCAAGTGGCATATATGACCATCTGAGGATATATAATGAGTGAACTTATGAATCAAATACCATTATTCCTTTCAATTCAATAATTTACAGTGCATGGATAATAGCAATCTGGCTAAAGTTCAGATTAAATGTGCTGCATTATTTAGAGTTGATTTTAATCAGATTGGAATAATAAATAACTTAAACAGCCCAAGGAAAGTTTTAAGTGCCACAAGTTGCAAACTAAAATTCAACAAAGGGCCATAATTCTGTTAAATTTGGTCGCAACAAAAATTCCTTCCTTTACTACCATCTACACTTTAAGGTTGTTCATCCCTGGAAGTTTAAGCAAAATCTGCCATCCGGTTTAAGAGGAGTTGCGTTCACAAAATTTCTACATAGTGAAAAAATCAACAAAGGGCCATAATTCTGTTAAATTTGGTCGCAGCAAAAATTCCTTCCTTTACTGCCATCTACACATTAAGGTTGTTCATCCCTGGAAGTTTAAGCAAAATCTGCCATCCGGTTTAAGAGGAGTTGCGTTCACAAAATTTCTACATAGTATATAGTGAAAAAATCAACAAAGGGCCATAATTCTGATAAATTTGGTCGCAGCAAAAATTCCTCCCTTTACTACCATCTACACATTAAGGTTGTTCATCCCTGGAAGTTTAATCAAAATCTGCCATCCGGTTTAAGAGGAGTTGCATTCACAAAATTTCTACATAGTATATAGTGAAAAAATCAACAAAGGGACATAATTCTGTTAAATTTGGTCGCAGCATAAATTCCTTCCTTAACTGCCATCTACACATTAAGGTTGTTCATCCCTGGAAGTTTAAGCAAAATCTGCCATCCGGTTTAAGAGGAGTTGCGTTCACAAGATTTCGGGACGTACGGACGGATGTCCGGCCGAAATGGAATAAGGGGCCATTTCTTTTGTTATTTTCTTTTGTTTAATAGAGGGCCAATGGCCCCTTACTCTATTGTTACGGAATGAACTCTATTGTTCTCTTTTGTTCTGTTTACAGTTAGATGGCCCCCTATCCTTATTCAGTAGTGCGGACAGACGTACGAACGGACACTCGGACGGACAAGTGCAACGCTATATGCTCCCACTCTGTGGGGGCATAAAAATATCTATCAAAATTTACCTGTAACATTCAATATAGATTTCTATAATTTACCTGTTACATTCAATTTAGAATAAACAAAGGGGCAGTCTTTTCATGTTTTAGGCAGATTTTTTATTTCATCCTGAACATTTTCCAGTATTAACTGTCAATCACTATTGTAACAGTCAATCTTTTGAAATATATAGAGACAATTCAGTTCAACTTAAGGATGAAAAATAAATGAGCATAATGTCTCTTTAAAATCTGGGTTGAAAGAAAAAATGTCTTCATTAAGGTAGAATGTGTCCTTTCTCTCAAATTTCTAAAGCCTTTATCAACCAAATCAGAGATCTTGATACAATTTTTGCATTTTTTTTCTTGGTATAACAGACTCCCATACACTTAATAACTCACTGCCAATAATTTTTCATTATTTTTTATAACTTTGATAAATAACAATAGCTGTCGGTAGGACAGCAACGCTCGACTATTCTAAGTGCTTGATAGTAAAAAAATGCTTGATACAGTTACCTCCTCCTGTTTACAGGTTGGGGTAATGATGGTGAACAAGTGTGCAAAGTTTCAAAGCCATATGTCAATGGACTTTGAAAATATTTTAACTATTACAAAAACTTTAACGTAAATTCTAAGTCGAAAAAGGGGCATAATTCTGTCAAAATGCTTGATAGAGTTACCTCCTCCTGTCTACAGGTTGGGATCAGGATGGTGAACAAGTGTGCAAAGTTTCAAAGCCATATGTCAATGGACTTGGAAAATATTTTAACTATTACAAAAACTTTAACGTAAATTCTAAGTCGAAAAAGGGGTATAATTCTGTCAAAATGCTTGATAGAGTTACCTCCCCCTGTCTACAGATTGGGGTCATGATGGTGAACAAGTGTGCAAAGTTTCAAAGCCATATGTCAATGGACTTGGAAAATATTTGAACTATTACAAAAACTTTAACGTAAGTGGTTACGCCGACGCCGACACCGACGCTCGGGTGACTGCAATAGCTCTACTTATTCTTATCTAATAGTCGAGCTAAAAAGAGATTAATGGTTTAAACAATATATTTGTGGTATTGGACTGACAAATCTTGAAATTTTGCATGGTAACAGGGAAAAAGAAATATTAGTAACTGAAATTACAGCTCACCCATGTTATAAATTTGTAATAAAGTACATACCTTGAAGGTTTCTGCTCTGTAAACACAAACTGTCTAAGTGTGCCATCGGGACAACACAAGTGACAATGGCTGTGATTAGTCTTGTGTAAAACACCAGTTAACCTGGGAAATCTTTTATCTGAAGAAACATAACAAGATATTCTTTATCATCATTAGTTGAAACATGTACATGTATGTAGTTAAGCTTAATTGTGTAAAACTCTTATTCAAAACCACTCTTGCATCTGTTTGCTGGAACTAACTAGGACATGTGGTGTTATATGCAGAAACATGGTGGTGGTGGTGACCCCTGTCAGTGTTTAAACCCATGACCAATAGTTTTATGAGCAGAAACCATAATTATTAGCCCATTTCTTTCATTAATTATATGTTAAACAAGAGTTATGCACAGTATAATACTTTTGTTAAGTGCCCTACAATTATCACCCCACAGATATGTGAAGTGTCAAGTGAATACCTTTGTAAAGTTAAAGGAACGCCACTGAAGTTTAATAGCCTAAAATCATAAAATTTGAAATTGTTTCATAAAGCAACTGGTTAATTTAAAATGGAAATGGATGTGTAAATATACTCCGTTTTAAAATGATAATCAATATTATATGGGTTTTAATCTGATTTGTGGGTTAAGCAGTGTAATGATTTTTAATTTGGGGGCAATTTGTGCAATATAATTGATTGACCCTGTGCAAATAATATGACAAAACTCTGTTCACAAATTTCTGGTCCAGACCTACAGTTATACTAAAATCTTGAAAAAAAATTATTTTTTTGGTCCCTTCCCTTTAATAAAAAAAAATTTTTTGCCAACCATGATCAAATAAACATGGAGATTTCTTTTAAAATGGATCACAGAGTTAGTACTTTTAAAATTGCATATAGGACTATAATTAAAATAAAATCCAGTCGATAGTATTTCAAAGTAATCTAGAAGACATCTGCATTGTTTCAAATGAATATATCCAGTTGTATTTTTTTAGACACAAAACTTTTAATAATGAATTTTAATTATTATAAATTTACAAATGGTTATATTTCAGCCAAAATCAATGCTAGAGTAATTAGTCTTTCAAAACCATACCCATATAATTTTTCATGAGACGTGTGTGAATTTCTAACAAATATCTTCAGTGATTGATGAGAATAATGTTGCAGGCAAAACTTTAATATAAGCCACGTCATGACAAAATCAACGTAATGCGTTTGCGACCAGCATGGATCCAGACCAGCCTGATTAGGATCCATGCTGTTCACTTACAAACCCTATTACAAGTAGAGAAACTGATAGCGAACAGCATGGATCCTGATCAGACTGCGCGGATGCGCAGGCTGGTCTGGATCCATGCTGGTCGCTAACACATTACATGTACATTGGTTTTGTCCTGACGCGGCTCATAATTTTATAAGCTTTATGTTGAGACATGGGTAAGTAGGATACTCCGACTTTTCTATAATGATTCAAACTAAAGAGGTACATCAGAACAGCGATAAATTAAAACACTTAAAGCAAGAACGTGAAATTATACCTTCTTTCTTCTTCCCTTTCTTTAGTACAACATATGAATATCTTTCCAATAATTTGGAGTCCCCTTGACCAAACTATAATATAAAACATTAAACATATCAAGGTATGTATCATATAAAAAACTCACATCTCATTATATTAAGTTAATAAAATTATATACACATTCCTTTGTAGACAATATAAATCAATACTTGAAATGGTATACAGACTTTTAATATGGATCTCGTTTTCTGACAGGAAGCAGTAGCTGGTTGAATCAAGAGGCCAGAGTTCTTAACTTTAGACATTCATTTATTTGAAAAGAAAACAAGAGCTGTCCGTAAGACAGCGCGCTCGACTTTTTTATTGCTTGCCAATAAAAAAAGTTTTTGCAGTAAAAGGCAATACAAGAATCTCTGTATTTTTAAAGTGAACAATGGCCATGAGCATTAAGATATTTAGTGAAGAATTATTTTACTGAATTGTGTGATACCCTTGAACACTGCTTGCCTATAATACAAAACATTGACAGTTAAGGGCCATAATTCAAATAAAATCTTTGACAGAATTACCTTCTCCTGGACATGTTTGGGAATCATGATTGTAAACAAGTATTCCAACTTTCAAATTAATATCTCAAACAGTTCAGTCAAAAAGTGGACTGGTACTAAAAACTTAACCAAGATTCTAAGTCGATAAAAGGCCTTAATTTTTAAAACAAATCCTTGACAGAGTTACCTTCTCTTGCGTACAGATGGGGGTAATGATGTGAAATAGCATTGAAAGTTTCAAAGCAATATCTCAAAGGGTTAAGGCAATAAGTGGATTTTACCCATATTCAATGTATTTTCTAAGTCAAAAAGGGGCATAATTCTGTCAAAAACCTTGACAGAGTTATGTCCTCTTGTCTGTTGATGAAGGTCGTGATGGTAAACAAGTATGGTCAGTTTCAAAGCAATACCTCCAATGGTTTTGAAATAAAGTGAGGTGGTACAAAAAACTTAACCAAGCTCAATACACTTTCTAAGTCAAAAAAGGGCCATAATTCTGTCAAAAACCTTGACAGAGTTATGTACTCTTGTCTGTAGATGGAGGTTATGATGGTGAACAAGTATGGTAAGTTTCAAAGCCATACTTGTAATACTTCTGAAATAAAGTGGGGTGGTACGAAAAACTTAACCAAGGTGTGACGCCGACGCCGACGCCGGGGCGAGTAGGATAGCTCCCCTTTTCGTAGAAAAGTCGAGCTAAAAATTGTAAAATTCAGGTCTTTCCTGAACCTAGGGCCAGGATTTTTAGAACTTTGAATAGGCCATAGGACAATGCAACATATTAAATATCTTAGCTTTAATAATTGTTTCAGCTAAGGAAACCTTAGCAAATGGAACTGAATTGTGATCTTAACATATATGTGAAATTCATATCTTGTTTAAGAGATATTAAAGAAAATGTAAAGTTTGTAAAATTTTAATTTAACCTCTATTCTAGTTCCAGAGTAACAATTTTAAACACCCCTTAACTATCATAAGAATAACAAATCTAAGCTCTACGCCTTGTGGTTTCTGACATAAATAGGTTGAATCTTGACTAACATATTTCAACCTCTGAACTCTAAGGTATGTTTTTGAATTTAAGCCTCAATCTTCCAATACAGGACAGCTTTAATGTCTACTTGTTATTGTTAGAAAAATAAAAAAATACTTACTTCTTCATCAATGTTAAGTCTTCTGTACTCTATGGAGAATGTACATGGAGATTTCCATAACTGTAACTTCGGGCACACTTTTTCATGAGTACACTAAAATAAACAGGGTAAAATTTCTTTTTTATTTGTGTTGTTTACGGTAAAAAAGTCAGCTATAATCATTTTATTGGAAACATCAACACAGTAGCAAGCCAGGATTAAGGTGTTCACAAAAAATTACTAGTAAAACCTTTGACCTTTAAAGGGACTCCACTGAGGTTTTTTGACATGACGGAACTGGAAATAATTTTTTTGAAATTACACCTTTTGATGTAGATCTATACTTTTAACGTCTGTCAAATCAGACTGAGAATAGCACAAACATATGATTTTCTATGTATTTCTTGTATATTTCTTAATTATTTTTTATTTATATTTCTGTTTTAATTGCTCATCTTTACCCATGTTAAAAATTAAAATGTTATATTTTTAGGCTTATAAACGTCAGTGGAGTTCCTGTAAGTGTGCCCTTGACTTTAAAGTTTGGTACCTTTATGTAGATACTGCTGTGTGTCACAATAAGATGTTTCACCATAGAATTATCAATATTTCATACAACAGTTTAAAAGTTATAGAGCCTAATCACCAAATATTTGAGCAGTCATTAAATTTTTGTGTGCTTATTATCACGAACTTGTCCCATATAATGGTAAAACAAGGCATCAAAAATACATGTATATATCATAACTTTGGACATGCTTCATTGTAGAGCAGACTGGCCTTTCTTTATACTGTGGCGTAAAGGATGTGTGGCGGCTCAGTTAAGTGGTAAATGCCTCAGACTAGTAATCTAAGGATTCCTGGCTGCATGGGTTCAAACTACTTCAAGGGCAAGCCCTTGTTTCCAAGAGCAAGAAACTTTACACTCATTGCTAAGTACTGGTTAGTTACAGGAATGGATTTAAAAGTGTTTTAATAACCTTTTAGCTTACAACACAATCAAACTACAATAAACTAGAAGGCGTTTCGTCACAAAAACATATGTCTCCCAAAACAAGGTATAGTACTGATCACTCCTGTGAATTTTGGTCAAAATCCAATCTGCAGTTTGACCTTTGAAAGCCGGTCAAAAAATTTCTATTTATAGCTCTGACATCAATTTTGTGCAGCAAAGCGAAACATCTTGGCGATATGCGCAACTAGGGATGGTACTGATCACTCCTGTGAAGTTTCATTGAAATCCCACTAGTAGTTTGACCTGTTAAAGCTGGACAAGCTAAAAGAGGACAAAAGGATGGACAGATGGCGAAAAATTTTGGGAGACATAATTTGTGTAAATTAACTAAAGCCTGGTTTAGTGCATTAACCCTCAATGCATTTATAATCTTCACTTGAAATGAAAACATGTCTAAGTTCACTTTGATAATCAAAAACACTTACAGGTGAAAATACATGGCCTTCGATCTCTGGATATTCTGCTCTTAGCTGGAAAACAACAAACTTAATATTACATTTTTTATGCCTAAGGTTTTAGTGAAAAAAAAACATTGATGAGGTCATTTTGTGACTTAAATTATGATGAAAAACAAAAATTACTGTTTCAAAACATTTTTTTCTATCATATTATGTAAATATCACACTTTTGATTAACCTGTTGATTATCAACTTTTAAAATGTAAAACCCCATATGAGACTACAGTATGTCTCAGACAAATTGCACTTAAATAGCTGATAAATAAGATACAGTAAAAAAAATGCAGTTATTTGTAAATAAACACATTACATCTGGAAAAATTATAGAGGAAAACTGCTTATCTTAACTGCACACTGGTATTAGCTTGAGATGAGTATTGTGCAGATTTTGTTATCTGTACCTCACTATGTATGCAAGTGAGTCATGTTATGAAGTTGATAAAAAACAGATTTTTGTATTCTTAAGTTAAATGCCCATTTAAATAGTATTGCATTTAGCTACCATCAGGAATTTGCCCAGCAAGTGTTCCTGTATTCTATAAAGGCACTAACCTGTTTCAATGCAAGTAACTGCTATCAACTTTTTCTTAGAGTTCAAAAACATTAGATATATAATTTTGTTTATCTACAAAATTATCAACACATGGGACTGTCTGAGGGATCATGGGTTGGAGCCCTAATCGGGTCACCACCATGTTTCTTCATATGACACCAGTACTGGTTGGTTCCAGGAAGCAGACTCAAAAGTGATCAATATAAGTTGCAAGAACTTGTTTCGCAATCAAGCTTAATGTTTAAACCAATGGCTTCTACAAACTGATGGTCATATGAGCTACGTCACGACAAAACCAACATAATAGGTTTGCGACCAGCTGGATCCTGACCAGACTGCGTGGATGCGCAGGCTGGTCTGGATCCATGGTCATCCACGCAGTCTGATCAGGATCCATGCTAATCGCTTACAAACCCTATTACAAGTAAAGAAACTAATAGCGAACAGCATGGATCCTGATCAGACTGCGTGGATCCACAGGCTGGTCTGGATCCATGCTGGTCGCAAACCCTCTATGTTGGTTTTGTCATGGCGCGGCTCATATGTGATGATATCCTCACCTTGAATATCATTTCTCTAGCTTCCAATATAAGCTGATAACCAGCTGTTGTTCCATGCTCCACCAGGACCTGAAATAATTACAGTTACCATCAAATAGCATGTTGAAAGGCATTCTAGAAGAGAGGTACTTTACTGTCAATGTAAAATCTAATTTAAATATTACCTAAAGGATCAAGTGGAACAAACAATCAACACAGGATAAGTTTTAAGGTTTATTTAGTGATGATAACTGATGTTTCAATGCTCACAAGAATTAATATTAACTTTTAAAGGATATAAAAATATGTATCTCATGAAATACTTTTATAAAATTTATAAATGGTAACATTATGTTATTTCAATAATCTTTTAGGAGATTCTCGAAAGAGTTGTAATACTGAGTTTCTCTGTTATTAAACACACATGAATATTGTTTTTCAACAGAATAAAATGTTTCTTCATACTACTCAGTTTTTTTACTGTTTAGAAATGATTTCATGCAAGGAAAAAATAAAGGAAAAATCAACATATTTCTTTGATAAGGGTATTTTAGAATTATTCTGTGACAAAACTAAACAAAAAAATTTGTAAACTACAGACAGGATATATAAAGTCTGATACAGTTTAACTTTAAATTAAAATTAATTATATAAATGCTGTCTTATTGTAAAATATTGACAAAATCAAGATGTGGCACTGACTATAATTATGAAGCACCACTATGACTGAGAAAGTTCAACCAATTTTCCCTGTCTTTATAATAATTTCATACAGTATACACACATCAGAATACCATTAATATGCACAAAGATGGCAGAATAATTACTTTACTTTGGCCAATAATTATCAAAAATATGCAAATGCTGCTTATACCAATTTACATTAATTAGTGTAATATTATCAGAAAATGAGGGAATTTCAATGTTCACATACAGTTAACCCTGTGTATACACTGTCTTGAGATATGAGAAAATTGGTACAAATTTTACTGGTTTGTGGTCTTAAATACAGGTTTCACTTTGACATTTACAGGGCAACTAGAAATTGCAAAATAACATAAGCTCCAGAACTTGTATATTCCGGGGAGAAATTATTTAAAATAATTTTCCTATGTACTAAGTATTTCCCTATGTACTAAGTATGTCTATGAGTGACCTTGAGATCATTCCTAAAATGTCTGGTCAAAATTTCAAATCAGTTTGAGAAAAATGCAATTTAAAGATGTTGAAAGGGACAAACAAAACCTCCTGAAAAACATCAGCTGATGTAAGTGATGTTACATCCAAAATTTTAACCAATAATTTCGTAAGGTAAAAAAGGGCCATAATTCTATTAATTGTGTCGAAATTCATGTGAGTTATAGGCCTTGGACTGTGACCTGTTATAATCTAAAATGAGTGTATGTTGTAACAAGCAAATATCCTTAGTTGATGAGATATGGTGCTTTTCAAGAAGTTACAACTTTTAACCAAAGTGTTAAAGCTGACACTGACACCAGTATGAGAAGGATAGCCCCACTATAATTCCAAATGAATAGTCAAGCTAACAAATGCTTGGCAGAGCCAGGGTCTTTCAAATAGAATGGTCTGGAGACAGACCAATTTTACGAAAAATGCTGTCTCGGTTGAGTCACATGGTTGGGTTATCATGGCATAGCACATCACCATTCAAAAATCAAATTATAAGATAATGTTTCGTTAAATCAATCAAAAAATTACTAAAAACTAACTCTGACTACACTAAATTATCAGTTTTTGCTTTAAAAGTAACAATTTTATAGATTTGCAATGAAATTAGAAATTTTTCGTTCCCGGTATCAAGGTAAAAATCTTCTGCTCATATTTGAAAATAGGTCCAAGTTTTATGAGCTTTTTTAAATTTATGCATTGTTCAATGACAAAATAGAAATTGATTTTACAGAGAAAAGATGTTACTAAATTGTATCATGTAAAAATATTATAATATTTCACAATGTTATTTTGCAAATATTTGAATGTTTAATTTGGTGCATTTTCAAAATGGCGCCGATTATCGGCAAATATTCTGAACAAACAATCTATGTTTTTTAACAAAGATGGCTCTAAAAAACATCATTTCCTGAAATATTTATCCTTTTCAAAAGTTTAAAGATTTTCATGTCCTTAAAATTTTCATTTTTGCTCTTGTATTTAATATTCGCCCTTTTCTTGAACACTTACATAATTTGCTTATAGCAAACTATACTGATTTATACCGAGACAAGTTTAATTGTAGGGAGAAGGGTTAACATAGTGTGTTTCCAGACCATTCTATTTGAAAGACCCTGGCAGGGCCCAATTCTGAATCATTTTATTATTTCAATATAAGAATACCTTACTCCTACATTTTATTAGAAATACTACAAATGTATATACCAAGTAGTTGTCTGTAAGATCCCATAATAAACTGATTAGATTCAATCTCTCCTCCATACTAGGCTGTTCCAACAGTAAATATGCACTCACCACTAACGGAAACTTGTTCTCTTTATGCTGAAACAAATTATACACTTAAAAACACAATATTTTCCATAAAAAAAAAAAAAACAGATTTTTCAGAAAAGGATATCATGCTTAACTATTATGAATGTGTAGTACTATAAGAGGGCCATGACGGCATTGATTTATTAGCAAAGATCCTTTGATAGAAGTAGTCATAAAATCTTTGATGCAAATGTAGGTAATTTGGTCAAAGATCATACACTTCAGTGTTTGATTTGTATGTACACTAGGGCTGTCATTGATTATCGCAATATCGATATATCAGTGATATCCATCATCCGATACAATATCGATACACATTTTTAAATATTGATACAAGCTAAAATTTGTAAACCTATATTTTTTGCTTAATAAGAGAAGTCACTTTTTCCAGTTTTCATGGCTAACTTGAACTTTAAACTCTGTTTTCAAATGTCAGTGTCAAAAAGAACAGAAAAAAAACATTTTCTGTTAGTTTGTAGTATTTGTAATGTATAATACAAACATGCATAACACCATGATCCCAATATATAACACATGTTTAAATGTATTTAATTGTATCTACTTTCAAAGTTGATATATCAATATATCGTCGATATTTGTCTCTCGATATATCCATACAAAATTTTCCATCAATGACAGCCCTATGTTACATCAACACAGTATATGTCACATGGCGACTTTCCAGTTTTAGAAGACTGAAAGGTGTCCCTCCAAGCAATTTTTCAGGTGCGAATGGGCACCTGAGCAGAATCACTGACGTTCCATAAGCTAGTCGGATAGCTTCCTCACATGAAAGAATCCAAAATCCCTGATGGGATTCAAACCTACAGAGGTAATGGGCAAGTGATGTGAGGTCAATGGTCTTAACCACTCAGCAAATGACACCCCCTACACTTAAGTGTAGTGTAAGAAGTGTAGTGTACAAGTGAATCAAACTTGAGGTTTGAAGCTCCAAACACTTTCAAGGCTGTAGCCATAACCTTTTCAAAATACACCAGTTGTAAAAAATTTTAGCTTAGAAAATCTCCTAACTATGACACTCCTATCATGCTGTATAAGATATAGACTTTTAATATTAGACTTTTGACAGTTAATTGGGTTCGTATAAACCATTTGAAGTTTACATTACAGTAGTCACTAATGCAAACATTTTAAAGTTTATACACAGTCATGTCAAAAATCTGTATTAAAACATAAACAGTTAACTCTAACAGTTTAGAATGTTATGGCTTATAACCATGATTATAACAATACGTTGCTGCGGTCCCTACTCTTATTTTCAAATTTCTCAGATACAACAATATCCAGACATAACAATAAAAAACTGGTGGTCCCCTAAACATCTTTAAAAGCAGAGTTTACTGTAATATAATGCACAAAACAACTCATAACTCTGGTGCAGCCGTATATATTTAGTTAAAAGCAACAAGACTGTCTTAACACTATCAACATAACAAATAAACTATTCTATAAATTAATATTCACCTTTGGTGATGGTAATGACTGTCTGAAATTTACACCATTCATAACTAGTTCCAGAGGATTACGTATATCTGTAAATAACAAAAAAATATAGCATTAAAACAGTTGTAAAGCATTTAAAAAATCACTGACAAAATGTTTATGTCAAAAAGTGTGATATATTTGAGCCGCGCCATGACAAAATCAACGTAATGCGTTTGCGACCAGCATGGATCCAGACCAGTCTGCACAACCGTGCAGTCTGATCAGGATCCATGCTGTTCGCTTACCAACTCTATTACAAGTAAAGAAACTGATAGCGAACAGCATGGATCCTGATCAGACTTCGCGGTTGGTTTTGTCAAGGCTTGGCTCATTTTATTTTCATAATTGCATTTTCTAACAGCTACCTGTTTTTAAAGTTTGTTAAAAAAAAAAAAACATTGCACATCATAATCCAATTAATATTCTTGTTCACAGCCTGTTTTAACTAAAGTTGTCATTGATAGAGACGATAATTGTTTCATATTCAGTGACCTGAACCCTTTCACCAAGTTACTTCTTCAAACCTGATTAAAACATCATCTTTCCTCTAAATAAATGTAATATCATTGCCATAATATAAATCTGTCTCAGGACTTTCTGGATTAGTAACTTTAATCAATAAGAAACATGGGGCTCATTATGAAAAACATACAACAATCTAGCCTTTATTTTACTTTCAAATTTATCCAACATGTGAAATAGGTCAACCATTAGTATTTTTCAGTGCAAGAAGGAAAAACAACTGGTCACAATTCTGTACATTACTATCTGTACATTACTATGGTCAAGGACATAATGTAAGTAAGAGTAAAAATAATGAAGCCGACAGCATAATAGAATTGAAAATAATATATCCTATTTGATTAAATAGCTTTATGATAACAACAGACAGATGGACAGACAGTTCAATTACTAAATGCCAAGTGTATAAAAAGTAATAAACTTTTTTTAGAGATTATATCAAAATATCATACCTTTAGACAATAACTTTCTGGCTAAATCATTCATATAAGTAGATGTATCAACATTGTAATATTCATACACTTCATCAGCCCAAATTTTATTGGCAGCCCTAAAAGAAACATAAAGATTAACTTTAAGTAACATATTAATATTACATGTACATATATGTAAACTGATACATGTTATACAATCATAGTTTTACATTAATTAAAAAGCAGAATGTCTCCAGATTCATGCTAATTTTCATAAAAATTTTGAAAATTTAATTAAATGTATAAATATTTTGAAGTAATATACACATTGCAAACACAACTTACAATCTGTATAAATTATCAAAAAGAGATCAAAATATGCAAAATTAGCCCTCACTGTGTAAGTCACAGCATTAAAATATGGTAAGACTGCAAAATTAGTCTCATAAAACATGTAAATTATTACTTGAATCTTAAAGTTTTCTTTAAACTTTTCTCAAAATCTTAATACATTTTTCTCAATTTTGATTTTCTTGAAATATTTTCATACATCTGGAGGCATGCAGCTTTAATAAAGAGATAATGCAATACTATCTTCCATCATTCTATAGTGACAAAACTTGACACAGCATTCCTTTCAGCTAGGGTCACTTGAGTGCATTCATGAAAATCAGTGCACTTCAACAGTAGCAGGACAATCATAAAACAAACAGAAACTTTTTTGTAGAAAATAAAAGTACCCAGAATATAGATTTTATTATTTCTTTTATGAAAATGTACACATTAATGTTAAATGAATCAAAGTACTGACATAAAGATGATGGTAACTATGGTAACTTGCCACATAAGTAAACATCATTTATAATTCTCTTTTTTTTTAAACAGAGTTATCAGTATGAAAGTTATCAAAAGATGATACATTGCCCTGCTTCAAGAGAATGAGCACAAATGTAGGAAAATTGCCTTTTTATAAAGATGGTCTGTCATTGAAATGGGAGTTGACAAAAACATTTTCATTCAGATGTAACAATATGTATACCTCACTATTGTAAAGAACTATGTGTTATTGTCTTCTTATTTTAATTACTTTATTTTTAATTCTATTTAATATTAAAATGTTAAGAAATATATCAATTGAAATTTTTTTTGAAAATGTCTTAATTTGGTTTACCAACATACTATCATTACATCCTTTTCTTTCTTTTGTTGTTATTTTAAATGACATATCTCAACATTGGAGCAAACTAGCCAAGTTTTTACTTACCATACAGCAGAACCCGTCCCTGAACCAACATTCAGGACAGCATGTGGTGAAAAATCTTTGTCAAGTTTATTAATCTGAAATAAAATATTCAAAATTCAGATTTGAATGAAAACCTCCCATACCTGAAATAATGCATGTACAGCTGCTAGGAAAACTTTTTTGGAAATGCAATGGTCCAGAAAAATTACCATATATCACATACAAGTAGATAAATTCAATTGACATTACTTGCAAGTTTCAAACTCATAGAAGTGCAAAGTGGATGCCAAGCATTTCAATAAAACAATAAATGGAAGAAATCTATAATGAGAATATATGATAGAAGGGTGGAAAATACAAAACAGTGGAAAATAATTTTAGGAAGGCATGAAAATAAAGTGATATATATATTTTATTGTTGTTGTTAGGTTGCACTAACACAGTAGAGGTCATATGGTGGAGGAAGACCTCGGTTCCCCTCAGTGTATTATTTCAGATAAGACAATGCACATGAGTAGAAACACCGATGGTTTGTAAGCTAGCTTGATACTTCTTCACATGAAAAAAATTCAAAGTCCCCAGTGGGGTTCGAACCTACAGCGGTGAGGGGGGCAAGTGGTTTGAAGTCAACTACCTTAGCCACTCAGCCACATATTATATTTAATAGGTACCTCATAAAATATTCTGTATAATACTGTGTAATTTAGTGTCAGTCTGGATGCCATGTAAACTAAGCCGGCATAATCTTTATACCTGAAATAAAAAATCCAAATCAAACATACTTTTTTTCCATTCACTTTTAATTGAACATAATATTAAGTTAACACTTTTAATTAAAATACCAAAAAGAAATGTTTGTTCATAGTCAATTGAGTGACTTTATAAATAGCTTCCTATAAAACAAATCCAGAACAAAATACAGTATATATATTTTCATAACAGGGTAAATACTCACTCACCTGAGTGAAAATGGCTCAAAACCAAAAAAAAATCGCAGGTACCATTTAAGACCCATGATTTATATAGTTTTTTTTTTTTTCAAAATAATACCCTCTAGACAATGCTACATAACTAATACTAGTATTTCAGGTATGAGACTTCTAATGTCAGAAGAATGTTTCTAGTTTGTTTTTCTGTAAATAAGATCACATCAGGGTCCCAAAAGCACAGAATTTTAACCTATGTCTTGAACTAATAATCATACAAATTTTACAAACATTTACTAAAATCAAGCCTAATGCATTAATTCAGAAAGCTTATGATAAGCATAAACTTTCATCATTTTATGTAAAATAAATTCTACAGAAACTATAATAAAAACAATATAATCAAACTTCATTTTTATCCATGTCTATATTAATGAATACAAGAGCTGTCAGAAGGACAGCGCGCTCGACTTTTTTAGTGCTTGCCTATAAAACAAAACTTTGACAGTTAAGGGCACACAAGACTTTAACTAGGAATTTCTAAGTACAAATCAAGAAACATTTTCACAGAGTTATCTTCTCTTGCTTACAGATAGGTCTCATGATGGCACATAAGAACTCCAACTTCCAAAGTAATATCTCAAATGGTTAGGTCAACAAGTGGACAAGAATGAAAATTTTAACTGAGTTTCTAAGTCAAAAAGGGCCATAATTCAAATAAAATCCTTAACAGAATTACCTTCTCCTGCCCATGTTTGGGACCATGATGGTAAACAAGTATTCCAACTTTCAATTTAATATCTCAACCAGTTCAGTCAAAAAGTTGACTGGTACAAAAAACTTAACCAAGATTCTAAGTCGATAAAAGGCCTTAATTTTTAAAACAAATCCCTGACAGAGTTACCTTCTCTTGCGTACAGATGGGGGTAATGATGTGAAATAGCATTAAAAGTTTCAAAGCAATATCTCAAAGGGTTAAGGCAATAAGTGGATTTTACCCATATTCAATGTATTTTCTAAGTCAAAAAGGGGCATAATTCTGTCAAAAACCTTGACAGAGTTATGTCCTCTTGTCTGTTGATGAAGGTCGTGATGGTAAACAAGTATGGTCAGTTTCAAAGCAATACCTCCAATGGTTTTGAAAATAAAGTGAGGTGGTACAAAAAACTTAACCAAGCTCAATACACTTTCTAAGTCAAAAAAGGGCCATAATTCTGTCAAAAACCTTGACAGAGTTATGTACTCTTGTCTGTAGATGGAGGTTATGATGGTGAACAAGTATGGTAAGTTTCAAAGCCATACTTGTAATACTTCTGAAATAAAGTGGGGTGGTACGAAAAACTTAACCAAGGTGTGACGCCAACGCTAACGCCGACGCCGACGCCGGGGCGAGTAGGATAGCTCCCCTTTTCATAGAAAAGTCGAGCTAAAAATGAATATTTCATGTTCAGCTGACATTTCGAAAAGTATAAGTTGAAGTCATATACTTTAGAATTTTACAAAACTTTTATTTCTTAAGTGGTTCCCTAAAATAGGCTACTTTATCACATACCTGCGCTGATTTTGTGACTCTGTAAAAATGGTATTGCATGGAAATGCATATATTAAGTCAATTATGTTATCAATACTGAATTTATTGAACTCATTGAATAAAATAATATTTTGCCCACCATAGGCTCGCATAATATAATTTCATTCAACTTGTTCAATAAATTCAGTATTTAACGTACACTCATTCAATATCCTGTATGTATTATACAAAAACTGTCAGAAAGTCATCAACTACTCTAAGTACCGAATAGTAAAACCAGAGCCTGATTAATGTAGAATTCTTTATGTTAAGGGCCATAAACTGTCAAAATCCATGCTAGAGTTATGGAAGTTGGACAGTGACCACCAAATATGCTCTCATTTTGAGACTCAAGTGTAACAAGTACCAAAGTGTGACACTGACGTTGATGGCTGGTTTAGTATAAATGATCTCCCTATTCTTCAAAAAGTCTAGCTAAAAAGTACTCACCTAATTTAACTCATTTATATATGTTTTCTTGAATGTTTTTTGTTTTTTTAAATATTTTGTTGTTTTTTTGTTTATGTATCTACTGTGTGAACATTTTCTATGCAAAAATATACTGAAGTATATACAACACTATCTCTAGATTATTCAGAAAATCTTCACTTTGAAAAAAGCATTATTTTACAACATGCTTAAGGATAGTGCTCAACCCATTGAGGATGACCGGAGTATCTGATTGGCTAGTCACTATTTGCTATTAAAAACATTACACACTTACTCTATAGGTTTCCAATTGTGTGTAGTCGCTTTACATGTTCTGGTAGCCATGTTTTGAACCTTCCTTTTCAGTCGATCCTTTTCATCATCTTTTAACTCTTCGAAGTTGATATTTCTTTTTTCGATATAAGCTACAATATAAATAAAGAGTTTGTTTCCAGATTTTGATATCTATCACTTGTTAGTCTTTCAACTCTTTTAATATAACCTTAAGCTGAGTTGTACAAAGGGTACTTAAACATCCCTAGATCATGTTGATACAATAGACCTGCCACCGTGACATTTTCATTCCTTGACAACATGGCTGGTAAAACCAATGGTCAGTATTGCCGAGCTTGTCAAGCTATATTTCCCTTGAATTTACTTTATAAATATCATACAGACAAGTGTAGAAATGCTTCAGATAAAATCACAAGTATGCAAAAACTCAGATTTTGATGCTCCAAGAAAAGTGGTATATACATGTATATGATATCCAATAGATTTAAATACATTAGAATTCTATAATTTAAGATCTTTTCAAGGCTGGTATACCTGTATGTATTCTAAATTACCTGTAAACATCTCTTCTTCAATTGCTTCTGTCTTTGCAGCTATAATTCTTCTATCTATTGGCGGCTGTCTCTTTGAATATATCTCTTTTAAACGGTTCATGCTTTCCTTCAGCAATGCGTTACTTATCAGGTCTTTTTCTGTTGAACAAGATTATAGAAATAAAGACAGTGCTGTCAATGGTATGAAAGTTTCCAAGAAATTCAATTTTCAATATGATTTGGTCATGTCAATCAATAAACTTGTCAACCTTTAACCTGCTGGAACCAAAAGTGATTAGCCACTAGCTGTTACCAATATAACAAGCAAATCCGTTGAATTTATATCCCCCGCCGAGTACTGGTTATTATTAACACAACAACTGAAGACATAAGGCTTTATTTATATATTAATCATCGCATAAACTGTAATATTCTTTGAACTTGAAGCCTTGTACCTTCAAACAAGTAGAATTTTTAAGTTTTCACTATATACATATAAGGAAAATCTATGACCCCCTGGAGTGGGGCCAATTTTGATCCCAGGGCTAAAATTTGAACAATTTTGGTAGAGGACCTATTATATCATATACCAAATATCAAAGCTCTAGGCCTTGTACTTTCAGACAAGATTTTTTAATTTTGCATTTTTGAAACTCCTTTTCTGGCCCTGTGACCTACTTATGCAACAGACCGGAACCATTTGATCAACTTTGGCAGGGGACCACCCTAGGATCATTCCTGTAAAGTTTGGTTGCTGTGCAGTCATTTGTTTCTGAGGAGATGTTGTTTAAAGAAATTGCTGACGACGCACGACGACAGACGGTGGGGGATCACAATAGCTCACCTAGATGTAAAAACATCTTAATCTCCAGACTTCATTGCCATTTTCAAGGCATCAAGAAGGGATCTCACAATTTTTTCAAATATTTTTAAATGTTATTGTAACAAATCATTGTAATTCTTCTTTAATAAAAACTAGAAATGTGTCCATAGGACACGGGTGCCCCCACCACGCCACTGTTCTGTCAATCTTATGACTCTAGGTCAAATATTTTTTGAAAACTAAAAATCTTTTTACTAAGTAAAGGGCAAGAACTTTACAAATACTGAATAAATCCCCAAGCAAACCCTAAGTTGAAAATTGCAAATTTATACTTCTGTAATTCAAGGGCAATAACTCTAACAAAACTGAAAAAAATCCACATGCAAAGTCCCAGGTTCATAGCATCACAGTGAGATGAATCATTATTCCTGTAATTTAGTGATGTTGATCATTATTCCTGTAAAGTTGGTTGATTCTAACTCAAGCACTCAAGGATCGAATAACAACATAATGAAACAGTTTTTACTAAGTCAAAGGAAATAACTCTACAAATACTGGAGAAATCCACAAGCGAAACCCCAGGAACAAACTAAATATGCTGAGCAACTTTCCAATAAGGTTTAACGACTCTATGTCAAATCCTTTTTGAGTTACATGCGACACATGTTGAAAATTGCAAACATTTTCTAAGTCAAGGGCAATAACTCTAAAAATACTAAATAAATCCAGACGAAAATACCCAGGTGCACAACTACACATGCTGATCAACATTCCTGTAAAGTATCATGACTCTAGGTCAAATACTTTTTGAGTTACATGCGACACAAGTTGAAAATTGCAAAATTTTACTAAGTCAAGGGCAATAACTCTTAAAATACTAAAAATATCCGGACGAAAATACCCAGGTGCACAACTACACATACTGATCAACATTCCTGTAAAGTTTCATGACTCTAGGTCAAATACTTTTTGAGTTACATGCGACACAAGTTGAAAATTACAAAATTTTACTAAGTCAAGGGCAATAACTCTAAAAATGCTAAAAATATCCAGACGAAAATACCCAGGTGCACAACTACACATACTGATCAACATTCCTGTAAAGTTTCATGACTCTAGGTCAAATACTTTTTGAGTTACATGCGACACAAGTTGAAAATTACAAAATTTTACTAAGTCAAGGGCAATAACTCTTAAAATACTAAAAATATCCAGACGAAAATACCCAGGTGCACAACTTCTCATGCTGATCAACATTCCCATAAAGTTTCGTTGAATTCCAGCCATTAGTTGCAGAGAACTACTCCGGAAACGAAATTCGGACAAAATTTTACTGAGTCAAGGGCAATAACTCTAAAAATACTAAAAATATCCAGACGAAAATACCCAGGTGCACAACTTCACATGCTGATCAACATTCCCATAAAGTTTCGTTGAATTCCAGCCATTAGTTCCATAGAACTACTCCGGAAACGAAATTCGGACGGACGGAAGGACGGACGGACGGACAACGCCAAAACTATATCCCCCTCCCGATTCCATCGGCGGGGGATAATTATCATAGACCACAGCAAGCCTGCACATCCGTGCAGTCTGACCAGGCTCTTTACTGCTGGTACCTTAATGTTGTATTTTGATAAATCTTTGAATGGATTATTCATATTTTAAAGAATGTTAATCCATTTAAAACAAGGGTGCCATAGTCACAAAATACGCCCGTTTACGAAAGCTTTAGATGGAGATGGGGGCATTATGGATAAGTGTTATCTAGCAAGCAAGTTTTTACTCTTGGCACTCTGTTGTTAAATGAACCTTAAAACAAATCAGTAGGGAAGATATGCACAGGATGTGTGACCTTGACCTTGGTCGCAGGGACCTGAATTTTATGCACGGCACTCAGCCTCACAATGATGAACATTTGTGCCAAATTACATTGAAATCCCTCTATGCATGTAGAAGTTTTGCTCCAGACAAGCGTTTTTCTATGAGCTCTAACTGTGACCTTCACCTTTGACCTAGAGACTTGGTTCATGTGCAGGGCACTACGTCTCATGGTGGTGAACAATTCTATAAAGTAACATTAAAATTCCTCCATGCATGTAGAAAATATTCTCCGGACAACATCTGGATATTTAATCATCTCCAGTGACCTTGACCTTGCAAATATTAACCTAAATTAAATGTGTCACACCTGTAGTCATGATAGTTACCATTTGTGCTACAATCCATCAATAAATGATGACTAAATGGTCCCTATACACATCTTCAAATTTTTATCTGAACTTTGACCTCTATGTGTAACCTTGACTTTGGTCGCAGGGATCTGAATTTTGCGTGTGACACTCTCAATGGTGAACATTTGTGCCAAGTTATATTGAAATCCCCCTATGAATGTAGAAGTTTTGCTCCGGACAAGCGTTTTTCAATGAGCTCTAAGTGTGACCTTGACCTTTGACCTGGAGACCCTTGATCATACATGGAGCAATACATATCATGGTGGTGAACATTTTCATAAAGTATTATAAAAATTCTTCCATACATGTAGGAGATATGCTCCAGACAAAATCTGGATATTTCACCATCTTTAGTGACCTTGACCTTGCATATATTGACCTAAAGTACATGTGTCACAGCCGTAGTCATGATAATGACCATTTGTGTTACAATCCCTCAATAAATGATGATTAAATCGTCCCTATTAACATCTTTATATTTTTATCTAAACTTTGACCTCTATGTGTGACCTTGACCTTGGCTGCAGGGACCTGAATTTTGTGCGCGACACTCCGCCTCACAATGGAGAACATTTGTGCCAAGTTATATTGAAATCCCTCTATGCATGTAGAAGTTTTGCTCCGGACAAGCGTTTTTCAATGAGCTCCAAATGTGACCTTGACCTTTGACCTAGAGACCTAATTCATGTGCGTGACATGGCTTCTCATTATGGTGAACATTTTTATGAAATTTCATTAAAATCCCTCCATGCGTGTAGGAGATATGCTCCGGACAAAATCTGGATATTTCATCATCTTTAGTGACCTTGACCTTGTATATATTGACCTAAATTATATGTATCACAGCCATAGTCTTGATAATGACCATTTGTGTTACAATCCCTCAATAAATGATGACTAAATGGTCCATATACACATCTCTATATTTTTATCTGAACTTTGACCTCTATGTGTGACCTTGACCTTGGCCACAAGGACCTGAATCTTGCGCGCGACACCCCGCCTCACAATGGTGAACATTTGTGCCAAGTAATATTGAAATCCCTCTATACATGTGGAAGTTTTGCTCCGGACAAGCATTTTTAAATGAGCTCTAAGTGTGACCTTGACCTTTGACCTAGAGACCTGGTTCATGTGCGCAACACTGCTCCTCATAGTGGTGAACATTTCTATGAAGTTTCATTAAAATCCCTACATACATGTAGGAGATATGCTCCGGACAAAATTGGACGCCGCCCGCCCGCCCGACCAACCGCCCGCCCGCCAGGGGCTTCCCATAATACGTCCCGTCCAGGGGCGTTCCCATAATACGTCCCGTTTTTCAAACGGGCGTATAAAAATTCAGCAAATTAAAAGTTAATTAATGAAAATAATATATCAACTTTTAAAGAGAAATAATAAATAATGCAACACAATATAGTATCTCTATAAACATATTACTTGATCAGTAAAATCAGTAAAATCAAATTTTTGTTTGTTTTTATTTTAAAAGGTTCTAAGTATACTGACACAGTAAAAATCATAAGGTGACTTTGTAGCTTTACAGGTAGCAGAAGATCTCAGGTATCTGTTTTGTACTACCTGTTGTTCTATACAAGTATCAATCAAAGATCTCATTCTTATTTCTAGTTTTTCGAACGGCATCCATTTTGTTGTTGACTTTGTTCCTAGGGGACCAAAAGCAATCCCAAATAATGTCTCCACATAAGCTTGCTATTATATACACCGAGTTTCATTGTAATACCTCCTAACTTGAGTAATCAACCAGAAACCACTTGTTTGATGCCCGCGAGACTGTGAAAAAGCCACCCAGTCTGTCACTTGCCAATCTGATAACCAGGATTTTCGAAATTGAAAACTTGTTTACAGGTAATGAAAATTAACATGTAAATTATTCTTACCTGCCAGCAACTGACGTGCATTTTTTACCATGAGTTTAGGTAAATGAGGTACTTTATCTGGGTGCATTAGTCCTGCATGGTGCTTTGGATAACGTTGTGGATCATTTCGACATTCTTTAATCATCTCCGGGTCAAGATCTACACCTTTAGGTAATGGGCGAATAACAGGTGCAATTAGCCGTCCCTGCAGTTTGAACAATAATAATGAGAAAAACCAACAAGCTGCTGTTGGAAGAAGATAATAAAGAATGAATCTGAGAAGACATTTTCAATAAACATTGTAAATTTAAAGAATATGACATCTATTTACAGTCTTTGTTAAAAAATATTTTAGTTAATAGTTTTGTGCGCCTAAAACTTGTAAAAATATAAATCAGGGGTTCCTAAATCAAAAATGTTTGTGATCAATTCTCATTGCTGGGCCTGATGTTTTTTGATAAAACTAATGTCATGGCTGTAGTAAAAGTAGAAAAATCTATTTTTAACAATAGTTGCAATGACCTTGACCCAAATAATAGCCCTACCAATGGGTAGGGTTCCGAAGGATGTAGCAATACACCAAATATCCCAGATATCAGTCATTAAATAAAGATAATATGAGAAATGGTAAAAAAATACTTAAGAGAAAGTTAATAAAGACAGGCAACCCCAGGCTCTTACGAGAGCATAAAATTATACAAATTACAGATGGTTCACTTATTTACCCACACATACTTTTGTTATTAGTTTTCCATTGTTTACAAACCGAGTTACTCACGGTCTACCAGGTTAGCCCTATGACCTTTCAGTAAATTTGGGGGTAACATTAAAAAACCATGTTTTCCCCTAAACCCCGCAAAAAAAAGGGAAAGTTTTTTTTTTTAGTTTTTAAAGTAGCCAAACACGTACAGGTCATGTTTTTGGTGACTTTTAAGCCCTTTTCTGAAGGAGGACGACCTAATGCTCCTCCATGGATTATTTTAGGCCCCAAAAAAGCCCCCCTCAGGGAAACCCCCCCAATCCCTTTTTAAAAGGGTGGGTAGCTTCCGACATGAAACATCCCAAAAT